GACGGAATTACCCACATACAGGCAGTTCGTGGATTTCTTAGAACGAAAGTGCCAATTATTAGAATCAATAAATAAGGGCGCGGTGGCGCAGACCAACGGAAGACGTTTAGCGGCTCATGCCGCTACCACCGCTCCCGCGTGCAGCTATTGCCACGGGGAGCATCCCATTTATTATTGCCGTGAATTTATTAAGTTGTCCGTCCCACAGCGGCTCGCTGAAATTCGAAAACGGAAATTATGTGTGAACTGTCTACGCGGAACGAATCACGCGGCTCGGAATTGTAATTCGGGTTCGTGTAAGAAATGCGGCGATAAACACAATTCCCTGCTTCATTTTCCTTCGAAATCTAACGATAATTCCACGAAAACAAGAGCAGGGAACGCGTCGGCTCGAGACGACGCCGAGGAGACGACGGTTATGACTCATTCGTCGACTTCTCATAATACCGGTGTATTGCTTTCAACGGCGGTTGTGTACATTGTCGATGCCAGCGGAACAAAGCATCCGTGCCGCGTTCTATTAGATAGCGGCTCACAGGCTAACTTTATAGCGCGATCTTATGCCAAAAGGTTGCAATTGAGGGCAAATCCGAGTAACATAAAAATAATAGGAATTAACGGTACAACCAGCAGCGCGAGCGAGGTCGTTGTAATAAAGTTACATTCACGATTGAACGAATTCGCCGCGACGATAGAATGCATAATAACGGATCGCATAACCGAGCGTCTCCCGGTGTCGTCAATTGACAGAACGGAAATACGGATACCGCCGACCATCAAATTAGCTGATCCAGATTTTCACCGAAGATCGGACATAGACGTGTTGGTGGGTGCCGAATTGTTTTGGCAGTTGATTTGCGTGGGGCAATTAAGAGCCTCCCACGCGCACCCTACGTTACAGAAAACGCACTTTGGCTGGGTTCTCGCCGGTCGTTTCGGCGGCGAGACGCGTAAGACGCGCGCCCGCGAGATAGGAGCGTTCTGCGCGTCGGTAACCGAGTCAGAATTGCAAAATCAGTTAGCGAGGTTTTGGCAATTGGAGGAGAGCTGCCGGCCTCGCGATTCGTATTCGAGCGTGAAACGTTTTTGCGAGAAACATTTCCGCGACAACACGACCAGAGATGATCAAGGTCGGGTGATAGTTACGCTACCAATAAAGGAGGATAAAATAAGAAAGCTGGGCGATACGCGCGACGTGGCCCTGCGACGATTTTACGCTCTAGAAAAACGACTAGATCGCGATCCGATTTTGAAGTCGCAATATAGCAATTTTATCCACGAATACTTGTCGCTCGGGCACATGAAATGGATAGATAGCGTGAATGACGATGACGGAGATTTGCCGGCGTGTTACCTACCCCACCACTGCGTGCTAAAACCTTCAAACGAAACCACTAAGTTGAGGGTGGTCTTCGATGCTTCGTGCGAGAGTTCAACCGGAGTATCGCTGAACGACGCGCTTATGGTCGGCTCGACGGCACAGCAGGACTTATTCTCTATCATTTTGCGATTTCGTACGCTCGCGTTCGTTTTTTCGGCGGACATTGTCAAAATGTATCGCCAGATACTAATCAATCCGAAACAAACTAAATTGCAGCGTATATTCTGGCGAGACCACACCGGCCTGATCTTACGAATAGGCGAACTATTAACAGTAACATACGGAACGGCAGCCGCCGCGCATCTAGCAATCAAAACCCTTGAATACTTAGCGGAGACCTACGCGAAACAGTTTCCCGTAGGGGCGGAGCATATAATGCGCGATTTTTACGTTGACGACATGCTATTGGGTGCCGATACGCTCGAGGAAGCACTAAAAATAAAGAGCGAGGTCGTTGAAATTTTGAGTCGCGGCGCGTTTCAGTTAAGCAAATGGTCCTCGAATCATGTAGCTCCTAACAGGTGAAGATCAAAACAAACATAACGCCGATGTTCAAATCGACAGGGAATCGACGTCGCGCGTCCTCGGAATTGTTTGGAATCCGTCTACGGACACATTCCGTTTCGCAATTGAGAAGCCGGCAAACACGAATAAGATAACGAAACGTATAATATTATCAGAAATCGCGAGGCTATTCGATCCGTTAGGCTTACTCGGCCCGGTCATCATATTACCGAAAATATTGCTCCAAGAGATTTGGCAATTGAAGCTGCAATGGGACGAATCCATCCCGCTGGATTTGCATACAAGGTGGTCCGCGTTTAAAGAGCAATTGACCGCGCTGAATGAATTGAGAATACCGCGATTCATCAAGGAACGCGGCGAGCATTCGCGATTTCAGATACACGGATTTTGCGACGCCAGCCAGCGAGCGTATGGCGCGTGCTTATATATTCGGAGGCAAATCGGGGAAAATGAATTTCGCGTCGACCTGTGGTGTTCAAAGACTAGAGTCGCGCCTCTGAAAACGATTTCCATTCCTCGGCTGGAGCTTTGCGCGGCGCTATTGCTAGCGCAATTATGGGACAAGGCGCGATCTTCTATCGAAGTGGGAGAGGCGCAGTCCTTTTTATGGTCGGATGCCACAATAGCATTGCGGTGGATTTCGTCGTGCTCGAGGAAATGGTCGGTATTTGTTGCAAATCGCGTCGGCGAAATACAACGGCTAACACGCGCTTCGGACTGGCGGCACGTGCCGTCAGCGCAGAATCCCGCCGATTTGTTGTCTCGAGGTATTTACCCGCATGAGATTCGGAGTTCGGCATTGTGGTGGCACGGCCCCGA